AGAGCGAGAGAGAGAGAGAGAGAGAGAGAGAGAGAGAGAGAGAGAGAGAGAGAGAGAGAGAGACAGAGCTGCCTTGTGGTGGGATGATGGTAACAACTAGAAACATGCCTAGGCACGAAATCGAAAAATTCATTCACACACCTAGCCCGTTACTGAGACGGCAGCCCGCGTACAGGTTGGAGTAGTGGGAAGCCGGGTTGTAATCCGGTTCCGTGAGCGTGATGTCGTAGCCGCAGCCGAGCGCGGAATTCTTGTCCTGGATCCCGAGCAACGCCGTGAATGCCGCCGCGAAGTAGGTGAAGATTCCAATGAAGACGTGGTTTGGTAGGTACTGGGCTTTCATCTGCCAAACACCAGTCGAGATAAACGTGGGTGTACAGGACGGCCGCATTAAGCGTACCCACGGCGTTCCGATGTCGAAGCGGGCGGTCAGTGTCATAACAACGGCCGCGTTCACGTGCTTGGTTGGGCTTCAGAGACAACTTAAGACGTCCTCGGGAGGGCGCATACTGGGCAACAGATCTTACCCAACGAGCGCGATGGTTGGTGGGAGGCCAAATCACCAGAAGGAGTGCCACTTAAGATGCATGCGGTAGTCCGCGGGGTGTACCCTCCTGGGGGGTAGTGTTGTCACACGAAGCCGGGTGTTGTAGAATCGCTGTCTTTCATGCGCTGGAACGGCGAAATCCGTTGTACCATCAACCCCGAATCTCGACCCCAGAACGCCGCTTTTGATATCGCTGGCTACTTGCTGCCACCCTTCATGACAGCAAAGCGATTCATCTCACAACAAATGGAGCAGTCGCTTGTCTCCCTTACCCACTGCGGCGTCGATCCAGTGAAGAAGTTGAAAAATCCACCAACGTAGTTGGCGTAGAACAACGTGACCACCACGATGCCCGCCCAACTATGCATCGTGTACAGGTTCGCGTAGAGCTCTTCATTGTGGTACTGATGAGTGGACCGGACGGAAGTAGAGCGTGGGGGAAGACAGGCTTTAGACGATACCCAGGTGCGGCTCATGAAGTGACACCCGGAATGCGTCAACGACAGACCACGTTTCTTTTGTTCATGTTTGGAGGTATTGTCTTGGGTAGACCTGCATGCCTGCATGTGGGTGGTGACGCCCCATCTACTGTGGACGCCAGTCTACACCTTTGATTGATGTGCCAATCGGGGTCACACAGCAGAAAGGAAAACACAACTGTTAATGAACAGCATAAGAAACGGTAGAAAGTAAAGCAGATCACTCGTACCTGAAAAACCGCGATCAGGCCGAGTGAAACGAGAATGACTGCCACGAACATGAACGCGTTGTGGATCATTTTGTTGGTTTCTCTTTCCAACGACAGCGTCCGGTACGCCAAGATACCTTCAATGAGAGAGGGACACGACGGGCGAGCGAGAGAAGCAAGAGAGGAAGAGATGGGAGAGAGAAAAAAACACGCACAGAAAAAGAGCGAGAGCGAGAGCGGCAGAGCGAGGGGGAGGGGGGGGTGACAGACAGACTGAGACCAAACGGCTGATTGCCAGCCCTCTCTTGAGAACAATCCAAGAACAACCTCGCGAGAAGACCGGCCTATGCCTTTGGGAGAGGCTACCAAACCATGGGGCAAAACCAAGCTTGGCCTTTGGTGCTGTGCATATCCTCAGATTTTACAACATTTGGATATCAAGGAATGAATCCTGTCTCTCGTGGGTCCTCTCTAGAGAGGGTAGTTTCATGTCACGTACACCCGCATTATAGCGTGCATTCGCCCTATTCAAAGTACTCCGAGTTAGTAAAAATCAGCGTTTTTGTTCATGATGTGCCAAGAGAGTTCACGCGCCCTGTACCGACCGCGCGACCTTCAAGGTCCCACGACTAACTGCTGTCTCGCACTGATAGTAACATGTGGCATGACATGACGGAGAGATTACCGTCGGGGTGTTGCCGCAGATGATAAAATCAGTGGGACAAGCTGAACCCCAGTACAAAAACAGCAGGCCGGCTGTCCACTCCCTCACAGCCCCCGTCGTTCCCGTTCTACCTCTGTCACGAGCGATTTGGACCTGTGTGTGCTGCGCACCGAACGTTCCACCCAAGAACAATGGACCGCAGCGCGAAACCTAGAGAAGGCCGCCAAGTTATCGCGGGTGGTGTCCCGTTGCCTACTCCCCCAGGCAACATCTTCGCTGCACGTATCCGACAACGACCAGAAAAGAGCATTAGCAACGGTGCTCGGATAGACCTCAACCGCGAGAACCTTCGTGTATGCGCTAGAGCTGAATAGGTCGTGTTTGACGGGCAGGTCCTGTATCTCTCTCCTCGTGTCGCAAGCGAGCAGCGGGCAATAGGGTGGCGCTCGTTCATGTGCCATGGCGGTTGGCTCGTGGACCTCGCCTTGTTTTGCGCTGTTTGTTGTTGGACAGAAACAACGAAACAGGGCTCGCCTAACCTTGAGTGTAGGCAACGACCAGTCCAGCGACCATCAGAACCGGGTGCCAGTTGAAGAGCCCTGTCCCGCTGAACGCTAGGCCGCCGAGGAAGTAGTCGTCATCCTTGGTGGCGGTCGACACAGCAGTACATGATTGGAACGTCGGTGTAATACTTGTCTATATGAACAGATAATCTACTGTTTGTTGTACATAGATGTTTGGATGCACAAATGTGCATTCCGGAACGAAGGCGCACTATACCCCTTACAATGAGTACATGCTTCTCAACCAGACACACAGGATAAGTGTGCGCCATTGCCGATTCTGACTCCTCGCTCCGTGCTCTGTGCCGACGTTCAATGCCCGAAAAAAGACGGAGTATCTGGTGCTGCTACTGCTGTGCTGCACGGTACTGTTATTACTGCTGTTGAACGCTCACCTGATTAGCCAGTGCCCAGACGAGGACCATGATGAGAGCTGTCCACGACATCACATGGGCAGCCCAAAGGCTGCGAACCTGCAATATTTCCATTTGCCCGGTGACCAGAGGACCTACTTACGTACCACCGACAGGGTAATGTGGTATGACACAGCAGTGATGAAGATGTTTTTGTTTGTTGCCCCGCATCCTCGCGCGACTCAGGATGTCGCCCCGGACCCCCCACTCCCTTCCATTCTTTATACCATCCGTCGCCCCCCCCGAACAGCTGCCGCGGGAAAAGCAAAAAGCGTCTTGTACCACAAACAAGTCCGCGAGAGAGTTCACGGACGAATCTGTTGCATCAGGAATCGGATCCAATCGTCTGTAATACAGGTGTGAAGGACTCTTCGTTTTGGGGGGCCTTGGAGTCGATGCCAGTTCCCTTCTTTGTTCTGGAGGCGCGGTTTGATCTATGTAAATGTGCCATCTACCAGCTCTCTTGAAACACCGAGCTCTCGGGCTTCGATTCCCAATACCACCGCTTGTAGTCTTCATCCTTATGTGCTTTGCAGCGCTTCTGCAGGATCGCCCATATGCGACGTAGATCTTGGCGTAGCGCATCTCCTTACTCTCCCACTTCTCTCTTCCTGCTGTGGTCTCCCCTATCTACTATTACGACTGTTGTTGCATTTCGTGCGCAGTTTTCGGTTGTAGTCGACGGCATCTCCTAAATTTCTCACTGATCCTACCGCTCCTCTCGCATCTCGTGTGGTGAGAGAGTAAGAGACGCGCGCCGAATTTGACTTGTAAGTTCCAGACCGCAGCTGTGCCCTACGTTGTGGTTTCAGACCGGTAGCGCAGAGATTAGCTCAAGAGGCTGAAAGTATCCTCCGGGGTGTTTATGTGCTCACGTGAGTGGCTTGCCCATGCCAGATAGAGCAGGGGGGCCTTTGGTACTACAGTATTTCCGGTGTCACGAGATTTTGCCGGCACTATAACGGGCACCGGTACAATTCTGAATACAGAACGACTTGATATTTCAGTGTGTGCGAGCCGAAAACCCCGGCACTGTACCGGGCGCCCCCCAACATGTACATGCAAAGTGTGCGATTGCGGCCTGTCTTATGTTTTTTTTTTTACGTCCCGCTTTTGGCACGCAGCTGCGTTGCCCCAATGCATACCCCATGGCTTTGCCACTCAAGCTAAAAGGCTCTGGTTTCACGCCGGATGATGACTCTGTGGCGCACCCCTTGATCTCCAATGTGCACGGCATTCACCACTTCCTTCCCTCAACCGCTTAACCCCAAGACAACGCAGGGGTGTATGCATTACTGTAATATGCACACGTGGATCATGGATTACACGGATCGCCGACGCGAATCCTGCAACACGCACTATTCTCGGCCGGGATTCGATCTTACGATCCAGCTAGCGCTAACGGCAGTTTCAAAATACGACTGAAGCAGAAACGCTTAGAGGAGTAGAGCACCCATCATCGAGGCGGCACAAATATGTTGCCGTTCCTCTTACTCTTCTACTGCTGTAAGTCGTGATACAGCAGTAGTGGGGGGCCCGGAATAGACATGGTTGAATAGTGCAGGTGCCCGGCGCAGTGCAGGCAAAATCTCTGGACACAGACAGCGCCCTCATATTGAGGGTGGGCCCCCTATAGTGCAGATTGGACACATACACACACATGAAAACACACAGACAAGACAGCGGACACACGCAACACAGAAACGAGGGTACAGTGGGGCCCGGTATTGTGTTGTTGTCATTTTTGTCTTGCAAATGTCATTTTTATCTTGCAAAACCGAAGGTATCTCTCTGGAAAATGGCAGAGCGGTAAATGACAGCACGCACGGCTGGTTCGCGCGACAGAGTTCAGGGTGTGCAGTACAGCAGTACGAGTGCTGAGGCAGGAAGAATATAACAGTGCAACATGCAAGTAGTTTTTCTGCATCATCTCTGAGTGTGCGACAGGGGGGAACCAACACGTGTCGCGAAAAGTCTGCCCACGCCCTAGCCCACGGTAGACTTTCACTGATCTCGATCCATTTTCGTACTCTGTTGGCCCCGCAAAGCGTGAGCGCCAGACCATAAAATCAAACATCTCCTCAATAGTGAAGGAGCCTGCACTATTGAGGGATATTCAAAACCTCAAGAGTGCCGAACCTGCACTTTTGAGGCACTCTTCTGATCAGTGCAGGTACTCGCTTTAGTCCAGGTAAAGTCGCGGGACACACCCCTGCACTATACCCCCCCCCGGTGTTTGCCATCGGGGTTGGGTTTTCGGCGCTTGGCAACGACGTTGTAAAACAAGCCAATTCACTTCGTGAGCTCCGCAACCAGATTACCGTTTTACCTCTATTTTTTTTATTGGCGGTAATCATAATGGTGGTCGAGTAGATCATGTTGTGCGGGGTGGAGAAGCCTCACTCCGCGCAAGGGGGATGATCGCACCACGTTGTGTCCAATTGGTCAAGCACCCTCGAGGCAGTAACACAGTGCTTATAGCTGTCTCTGGAAGTGAACACCAGAAAGTAAATTAAGTCATACGCCGCTGTCATCCGTACGCAACGAAGTAAGCACAAGATGCCGAACACCCTTAGCAGGATGCAGCGCACCCTTCATGCGACTCGCCGAATACCTCACGGCGCTTCGCGCTTGGTGATGTGAGAGCCTGGTCCGGTGAGAACCCGGCGTGCTCCGTCCCGGCTTTGCAGGGATGCGAGGTCAATGGTCTACCGACTACGGCATGCACGACTATGAGTACACCCCCCCCACTGTGGGAACACAATGCCCCGTCCTCTCGAAGACGCGTGGTCAATGGTCAACCGCTGAGGCATGCAAACCAGGAGAGTACGCCCCCACTGTTATTGATTCGGCACCCCCACACTCATTTAGGGAAGCCGTTCTCGTCAGCTTGCTGTACAGAGTTGGGGAACCACGAGTTGTCCCAACTTCTTGAGCTACTTGGAGGTGCCCTGTACAAGCTCCCAGAGCGTGAACGGTGACAATATGGGTTTCGTTAGACCCGGAGGTTGGTGCTGAAGTTCGACCCCGTGCTTGCCATGTACCACCGTACCCCACAAACAATTTTGGAGGTGGAATCAGGGTGATTGTCACCAGGAAGTGGAAGTTTCGCAGGTCGGCTACATAGATGGCACGACACCGCTACTCGGGTGGTACGACTGTCGTGGATAGGGATCCAAATGTGTTCGGGTTTCCGAACTAGCCATGCTATGATAGGTACAGGTTCACTGCCGTTGTGGCGTGCGGTGCTGATCGTTTCTGCTAGCTCGAAACGCCCGAGCCTGACTCGTGGTTTTGAGAGTTGCGAAAGAAGGCTTGGAACAACAGGATTTCCAGTTGTGGAGGCATGGACTCGTCCGTTTGAATGGAAAACCAAGACATGTGTGCTCTACCTATGGATAACTTCTGCTGGATTCATGTTGGCCGCGGTTTGTGTGAGGTGCATGAGGTGCAACCAAGCTCTTGACCACGTAGTGTGATAGCGGCAAAAAATGAAGGAACGTGAAACAGATTGGTTTCCACGAGCGTGTTGAGAGCCTTCAGTTTGACTATTTTTGTTGATGGTGGTGTCTGATCACCGTCGAGACGTTGGTGAAACGTGCTGCACGACTATGCCGAAGGTCAGCAAGCAATTCCCTCCAGACTAATCCACACATGTCCTGTAGTGTTTCGTAAGATCGCTGTTCTTGTACATGCTCGGCAGCTGTGGTTGGACCAGTCACAAAGGTGTATGCTCAAAACTGCTATGTGACATACGTTCTACCACCTACAGGGCACTGCCGTGGACAAACCACGCTCCGAATGTGTTCTGCTTCATTTGGTAGATCTACCCGACGCCTCAGAATTCCACGCTATGGAGCTTCGGGCGTGGTGACTTTGCCCGTTTTTAGCCAACTTGTCCCAGCCAAATCGTTGCGAAAATGTCGAAATTTAAAGATTTGCGGAACAAGATTTTGTTTCACTTGTTATGGGAGAATGAATCTTTGGCAGATCTTCCCAAATATTTTCAAACGGGGCAAAAGTCGCTCTTTCGACAAAATGCTTGACAAACATTTTGAAATGGGGCAGGTCGCGAAAATCTCTTGCAAGAGCAGCGAGATTAGTAGCCGACCGCTGCTTCCGTCCTAACACCAACCACTGCGCAGCGCACACTCGACGTAGCAAGCTCATAGAGGGATCCGGACAACCCTCGGGTCACCGTGTCAACGTTTTGCCGGCTGATCCATGGCGGGAGCTTGTCAAGCGTGCAGAAAAGAACAAAAAGACGGGGGTGGTTCGGAGGGCACGGAGAAAACGTGGTTTGTGTCTCCGAACGGCAAACAGTCGGCTGTTTGAGAGGAGACGCGAGTACAAAACTATTCAGCTCTCGTCCTCTAGACCATCGACTCATGTTTTGTCTTTTGGGTGTCTTCTCCATCAACAGCTCTCATCCAGGTGTGCGTGGTTCAGCAGTGGACGTACTCAACAGGCAGGGAGGCGCGTCCCTGTGAACTCCATGTGTTGAAAAAGTATTTTTTGGGATGGAGGAACAAGCCCTGTTTTCAAGTGAAAAAGAGAACGAAAAAAACGTTGTGTGCACAAAGATGTGGACACAACGATGTGCCTCCCTGCCGACTGAGCGCGGCCACTGCCAACCCACGCGCAACCGGACGAGAGCCGTTGATGGAGAACACACCCAAGAAGGCAAAACATAAATCGATGGGCTAACGGGCGAGAGCTGGATAGGTTTGTACGCATGTCTCCCTCAAGCGGCCGACATTTTGCCGTTGGGAAGCGCTGACGCACCTTTTGGTCTCTTTTTGACACCGAGAACATTTTTTCTCGCACGCCCGGAGCCCTATCGCCAAATTTGGCGGGCACAGCATCAGCTCAGTGCATCAAGGGTTGTCGGGAGCCCTTTGCGAGCTCGTTCCATTCACTTTCCAAGACGCATTTGTGGTTTGTCACAAATGGTTTGGTAGCAGTAGACCACCATTCCCGCCGCACTTCTGATGTATCCGAGAAAACCACACGGAAAGATATATTTTCGCATGAAAGCGATACTCAGATGTTCCTCCGGCAGATATTCGCGCAAATGTTGACAACATTTGAAGATTTATTTCCAACATTTTGAAACCATAAACATCGGTCTTACGTCCTACATCCTCCTTTATGTGGCATTTTGATGCGACGATGGGTTGTCCAGTTCCCATGTGCAACCATTGCAAATCTGCCGTGGAATCGTTCTTTATGGGATGAAGCTCGAGGTAAACAAGTATTATGGAAGTAAGTTCGACGGAAGTGACGCGGTAGTATTGTGCGCGTTGCCAACTGGATGCAATTCCGACATGATCTTGTGTTGATCACCCTCGCCGCAGCCCTGCTGATGCTGCACCTGCTTCTGATGCTACGGCTCGTTTTAATGTCGTTGCTGTTGCTTTGTGGGGTGCTGTGATTTAACCCACTGTGCTCCGTCTACAGAACAAGTGGGCTCGTCCTTTGGAGCAAGCGTGCGCGCTGAGGAAGAGACAACAGTGACACAACTCACTGCACGCTATCACCCATCAATCGGACCAAAGAGTGCTACGGCGTGGTCGCTGGCTGTACGACAGAGAGCGAAACCCCGCTGTCCCACCAACAGCAGTTTTTCTAACCACGTCCTCACCCGCCTATCTTCACAGCCAGTAACACACGAGGTTGTAAGAAAGGCCTCCGAAGACATGAAGCGCGACCGCGACGGCAGTCAGCACCAGCACCACTATGAGTATCGGCAACAGTGGCCTCAGCAGCAGCGTCAACAGCATCAACATCAGCAGGAGGAAGAGATCCCCCCCCCTCCACCACCTAGGAACCGACCGCAGCAGGAGATCCCCCCTCCCCCACCACCTAGAATCCGGCCTTCGTCAGCGTCAAGGAATGGCCAAGTCGCAGCAGTCTCAAACGGATCGTCAAACCATCCTCCAGCTGCTTTCGCTCCTGCTACAGCCGCGGTGGGCACCGCGTCAAGAATGAACGGCGCCGGCGACGGGGGCGGGGCGAACGTCTTCACCGCATCAAGTTATTCCGAGAGGGCCCCATCATCATCATCAACCCCAACCTCCTCTGCTATGAAGAGACCGAAGCTGGGCTACGAACATCCAGACAACTGGCGAGCAACAGCCGACGAAGTGCTTGTGAAAGCAGGACTAGAAGGAGGCGACAAGGAGGGAAAATCGAGGGCTGGAGACGAGGAAGGTTCGTCCACGCGCAGGGGCAATGATAAGGAGAAGCAGCAGCAGCCGGGCGCGACAAAAACGATGGCAGCGGCCCGGTCAAAGAGGCGATTTGCTGTCGTTTGTTCCGCGAATTTCAACCGCAGCATGATGGCCCATAAACTTCTGAAGGAACATAACTTTCAGGTTGAATCCTACGGTACTGGCAGGTGAGGCGTGTGTTCATTTTTTTTTTTTTTCTCCCATCATTGGACTCTGTCTGCCGCTCTGGCCCCCATCCTCCACTTCTACCAGCTAGACGACCCAACCGGGGTCACATAGGAGGGGGGGGTTGGACCTCCTCCTGCGGTCAATGTTTTTTAGTGGTTGTCCAACCACCTCCACATTCAAAATGCCAAAAACAATGTCCATGTACCTCTTGTTGTGTTGACGTTATAAAGAGGTGTCGCCAGCCGAAGCGGTGACGGTCCTGGGCTACGGAAGGTTGCCACAAGTTCAGTGCACGAGCTTCCCCTTCCCCTACGCGCCTTGCCTCTCAGTGTAAAACTAGCTTTTGTGACATGGCTCCATGTTTTGCGGGTGAAATGATAGTATGGAATAATGCCGCGGCAGAGCGATCGAGATTATGCCCCACTCTGTTGCGATCGTCGAATACTCCACGGCGCTCCGCGCTTGGTGATGTGCTTGCCTGGGACGGTGAACACCCGGCGTACTCGGCCCCGGCTCTGTAGGGATGCGAGGTCACTGGTCTTTCAACTACGGCATGCACGGCTATGAGTATCCACCTCTGCTCGCTCCCTGCCGCTCTCTTCATTACCCCTTGTTTATTTTATGCCCCTCTCCATGACGCTTAGGGAAGTGAGGCTACCGGGCAAGGACATCGCCAGCCCAGAAGTGTTTCCTTTCGGAACGCCCTACCGGGATATCTTCGACAAGCTCAAGGCCAAAGACGAAGCGCTTTTTAGCCAGAACAACCTGCTGCCTCTGGTGGCCCGTAACGCAATGGTGAAAGCCGCCCCGCAGCGGTTTCAAGAAATCGAGGGCCCGGACATGGCGGATTTCGACGTGGTGCTATGCTTCGAAACGAGGGTTTTTTACTTGGTCGTGGAAGGTACATGTTCTCCCGAAACTCAAAAAAGTTTACAGTTGCGAACGTTATTTGGGAATATGTACCAATGCCGTTGTGAAACAGATATCCGAAAATTTTGTTGGTGTGAGAAAGGGCTCATGCACGGGCTTGATTACCGAGTTTTGTCACAGAGGGAGGTGTTGCGGGGGGTGCACAGCAACAGCTGTAGCACCCTCTTCTGCTCTTCTTTCAGGCATGCCGGAGTAAGCACCACTAGAACGGCACCACTCGCGACGCGCCTACACCAAAGACAGGTGAATTTGTTCAATAGCGGCCTCGTTTGTTCGATGTAATTTGTTGTATGGGTGCTCCACTGCTGTTGACTCAGTTCCTCGACTACAGCTGCCATCAACGTTCAAGGGTTTATCAGGTGAGATGAGTGAAAAGAATCGATTGCACTAGTGCTAGACTGGGTTTCTTTTAAGCGTTTCTGCGTATTTGCTCCCACCATGACCAAAGTGCCGAGAGATTCATAAGTTGCTCTGTGTTGAACATCCTGGTGTGTTTGTCCTCGTTTGTGGCTTGGCAGTCGTGTTCCATTTTTCTCGGTCGCAGAGGACGCGTTGTCCTCGAAGTCTTGCTTTACATTCAAATATTGCTTTGTGTCTCGCACCGGCAGAATGGGGCGTCGAAACGTTGGGATGTCTCTTGCTTGTCCGGCAGGATCTGTTGGCGACGACATGAGATTGTTGAGGGCACCAACCAGGGGAACATATCACACGTATCTAGCACAAAGCTTTTATTTGTCGTTTCTCGGGGGTACTACGTTCCAGTCCCGAGTCATGCCCAAAGGTACATAGTGCTATCGGCACAAGGGAACGAGAGCTTACGCAGGATACGGGCCTACAGCGTGTGTACCCTTTCGCGGACTGGACCCATTTCTCCTGCTCCCGGAAGGCATTACGCGCACTCATGCCATACAGCAATTAGCGCCCCTCCTTAAGAACCTCTTAGTTTGGCTGAGGCGCGCTTCTTATACTCTCTTCCGTGCGGTTTTCCAACATCGACTGTAAAAGTGTTCGTGTAAGTTTCGTGACTGAGAATCTGTCGTATCTTTTGTCTCTGAAGTTCTTGTTTTTTTTAGCCCACGTTTCTCAACTCCTGGAATCTGAAGTGTGGGCGCCTACTGCTGAGTGCGCGAAACCGCACGTGAACGAAAAGTCTGGAGAAGTGCGTCACCTACACTGCTGTGGTTCCAGCATTACGGTAAACAGCGGGTGAATCGCAATGAATTGCCGTACATTTGTTACGCAATACCAAGAAGAGCTATCCACGGTGGGTATGACACGCAAAGCTCGGTTTTTCGCAGTGCTCTATTTCCTCTACAGACGACAGAGTGCAATGAAAATGCTATTTCGAGGGTGACACATGCACGCCGCCCCGCACATGCAGCTGAACGCCTCTCGGTTGTTGCCGGTAACCCTGGCAAAAGGACGAAGGTACACGTAGATAAAACCAATTGTGCATGTTGGCTGGATATTGGCCACTGATGGTCAATCTCTCATGACAAACAAGCTCGAGATAGACGCGTAGTCTAGATGTCGCGAACGAAAGCATCAGTGGCTCTGCGTGCAAGGAAAAAACACATCGCCCGCAATCGAGTTTGTGTTGAACGGCTCAGTCAGCCTTTCACAGCAACACGGAGTACTTGCTTGTTACTAAAACTTTCACTGTCGACGGCTCGAACCGAGGTTTGTCGGTGGTCTTCATCTCAGAAGAGTCTCAAAACATGTACCCCGATTCGCAAGTACGGAATGTAGCAGACCTTGCAGTTCCATTTCATCGGAACTGTACTACGAGCGACTGATCCAACGACTCCTGAGAATGTCACGGGTGGCACTGCATAGCCTTGGGCATTCGAGGTTTCGCGATCGCTAGCCACGAGGCGGAGCAAGCTAACCCTCTCGGTGATTGATCCACACTGGGCCCACAAAGAGTCTGAAACACAACGAACCAGGCAGTGTTGTTGCAAGAACTACACGAAATCTTTATCCCGATAGAACAAGTAGCGCGCGGATGCGCGGATGGCAATCCCTGCCTTGGCGTGTTTCTTGAAATGCTTCCACCTCCCCCCCTCTCTAACCTTCACGTGACAGACTTGAAATCACGAGACCCGGAGACTTGACGCGATCTATATAACCACCGCCATCAACAAATCGCTTGCAGAATCAGCTGGGACGAACGTGTAGTCAACCAACAAAGTAACAGCGAATGCATGCACAACTTGAGAACATATCGCCCCCCTCCGCTACCCCTCTCCCACTCATCCCTTCGCGTGACAAACCTACAATCACGAGAATCTGGAGTTAGTGCGCGTGGCTGATGACCGTAAGGGTCCGTTTGAAGAATCAACTGCGGCGTGGTCAATGGCCTACTCTTGACTCTTGACAGCGAAGGCATGCACACCTCTAGTACGCCGACCCAACCATCAACCCCCTCCGCCCCCACCCCC